GTGGGGTCTGTGCAGCCTGGAGAAGAGGAGGCTCTGGGGGGACCTTACAGTGACCTTCTGGTCCCTGAGAGTGGCCTACAAGACAGCAGGGGAGGGACTGTTCACAAGGGTTTGTAATAATAGGATGAGAAATGTTTTTAAACTAGGAAAGGATGGATTTAGACTGGATATTAGAAAAAAAATCTTTAGTATAAGAGTGCTGGATCACTGGAATGGGCTGCCCAGAGAGGTGGTGGAGGCCCCATCCCTGCAGTTGTTCAAGGTCAGGGTTGATGGGGCTCTGAGCAACCTGACCTAGGTAGAGAGGTCCCTCCTTGTGTAGGGAGGTTGGACCAGATGAGCTCTAGAGGTCCCTTCCAGCCTAAATCATTCTATGATTCTAGGAAATATATTTCCAAGTGGTATGTACCACCATAAGGACAAGTAATCTTTACAATTTATCCTTTGTTCTGATTAACCTCTTGGAAGCATGAAATGTTCCTTGCCCTTTCTGCTTCTCTGTCCTCCCCAAGAGGAAACTTTCTCCTTTGCATGCCACTTGTGGAAGTGTTCTGAGAAAAACCATGCTAGGAGTTAACGGACTCTTGAGTTATGTTGCCCAGGTTGGCCACCCAGAAGAGTTGTTTTGCAGTAATTTCTTTCCAGTGGTTGAGATCTGACCACGTTCCTGGTTTAGCCCAAAATGAAAACTATCACTTCTAGAAAGGTTTCTGTGGTTCTAGTGGTATGAGGGTGAAGTTTCCTTTGACAGCACCCTATGTTCTTACAACCAAAGTGCATCTAATACCCCTTAGAACAAACACATGCTGATATTTAGTAGAATTTCAGTCAGTAAGCCAGAAAAGTGCCAGGAAACTAACCTATTTTTGATGTCTTAGTGTAATTTGGATTCCAAAAACACAGAGCCAGTGTGACAGCTCTTTTGTGGCCCAAATTTTCTACTGCAGATCACGAGTAGATCAAAGTTTGATCAAAAAAGCAAACAGCACATCAGTAGTCCAGTGCTATGTTAGACTGACATGTGCTTTCCTATCTGTTGGCCTTGAAAATGCTCCTCATCACTTCAGATTCTACAAATGTATTGAGGGAATGATTTATAACTGGCACAGTAGGAATCTGTGGTACTTGACTGCTGCATGAGAAACACAGGATTCATTGGAAGGCAGTTATTGCTTCATGAGGGGCTTCAAGGTGGGCCACGCAGCATAATGATAATGATCTGTTTGCTGCTAGTGTTTCTGTGTCCCTCCTTTTAAATAATTGATGTGCAGCATGGCATGATTACTGCTGCTGAGATGAATGCAAAAGCATTTAGAACAGTTTTTTTAACTCATTTGGTGGACAAGTCTGAGGCATTGACTCTGCACAGCCTTTGGGTTTTTTTCCCCACTGTTAGTGAAAGATCTGATTTTATGTAAAAAGGACAAATTGTTGATTCTTTTTTTTTTCAAGGTGATGCTGTGGAACCTGCAGAAAGCTCGTCCCTTGTGGACCACAAACCTGCAGGAGTGTGAAATGGGGGAAGACAGTCCCCAGTCAGCTGGCCAGTTCTTTAACCCTCCACTTGCACATTCCCTCTCCGTCGCATCGTGTGGCAACATCTTCGGCTGTGGAGCCCAAGATGGTAAAGTCAGAATATTCAGAGTCACCAGTACCAAGTTTGAAGGTGAGCTGGAGTTTCAGGCTCACAGCTTGGGAGTGTCACAGGTTCTCTTTATGCCAGAAGCATATTGGCTGTTGACTGGAGGAAATGATGGGAAAGTCTTGCTCTGGGACATCAGCAGTGATGTTGGAAAGCAGCAGAAAAGTCCAGCAAAATCTCCACTGAGAAGAAAGGCCCAAGCAACTGCTTCCACCAAAAAAGATGGCAACCTCCATAAAGTGGCTTCAAGTCAACATGCTAGAGTTTTACCAAAGCTAACCATTGAGCATGGAGAGAAGGTGAACTGGATCTCATACACAGAGATCAAAGGCTCCAAGAGAGTATTGGTTGCTGATCAGACCAGTTCTGTATCTGTGTATCCCTTGCCAGAACCTTAGACATTGAAATGTTTAAAGAAATTAGTGGGAGAAAACCACTCCTCAGAGCATTTGAAAGGAGTCCAGTTATATCTGCTGACAGGGAACTGAACAGTGAAACCTGTTGAGTCCTTTGGAAGGGGAAGGGATTTGCTGTGTCCTCACACAGTGATGTAACTGCCCTCACATTATGTTCTTCAGTGGCTGCTGGTATTTGCTGCAGCTCTTTCTTGTGGGGTTGGCAGTTTGCTTCTTGAATTCAAGTGAAACAGGTTTCAACTGAAGGTTAATATTAGTTCATGACTAAGCTGACATAATTAAAGTTGGAGGGAGAAATTCATGGGGATACCCACAATGTTATATGGGGATTCTGAGCAGTAACAGGGATATCACTGGCTGAGCTCCTTGAATTTTGATTATTCCAGTGCTTTACATTATTCCCACCTATTAAACTACATCACAGTTAGCTTAAATTGGCTGTCCTGGAAATATATTTTTCATTAGTTTGTCAGCAGCTTCATATAAGGCTAGAGATGCATCAACCAATGAGTAATCAAATTAGTGTAACTGTCATTGACAATTGGATTTTTTCACTCTGCAGTAAATGAAGGAGCTGGGGAAAATGTGAACATCTGTTTAATGGGTCCCCTGTCTTATGCATTTAGTTGTTTATCCCAGGGAAAAATAACTATTACACTTGTCTTAATAAATATTTTCTTTCTCACTGCTCCATTGTGCTTCTATTCACTCTCATATTGCCAAACTTACAGAGAATCATGTCAAGAAGTACACTGCATACCCCATTACAGGGGGAATAGGAAGGGCTAAAGGCATGGTTCCTCCTTACCCAAATACTTCCACTGTCTTCCTAAAGCTTTCAAAACACAACGAGCAGAACTTGGGTTGCTAGAAACATCTCTTAATTTGCAAGTTGAAGTTTGCAGGGAGAATGTAACTAAGTGGGAATGCTGAAGCTCTTGACATGTTGAATTCGTGCTGGATTATCCCACAGAATGGGTAAATTATTCAAAGAAAAGAAAGCTTTTTCTCCTCAGTCTGTCCTTAACCTTTCACAGCACTGAGTGCCTGGTGCTGGCTTGTTGCCCCAGCTGTGCTGTTACCATATGCACATCTGCCTGCCTTCTATTTTTCTTTTTGATGGAAAAATTTCCAGCTTTTTGTTTTGCATACTCAGCTCCTGAAAATTGGTAGCTACTTGTGCTGGCTGTCCATCCTTAATGGAACAGATTCCAGCTGCCTTGGTTTTCCTCAGAGCAGTTCCCTCAACCAAAACCAACTCATTCTCCTTCAAACCTTGGTTTTGCCATCATACCTTTTTTAAAAACAAAACAAAGGCAATCTGCTTGTACAGCCTTTAACAGCAGAAGGCTTTGGCCCCAGACACAAACTGGTGGCTGCTACAGCAAAATTAAGCCAAAATAGAACAAAGAAAGCAGAGTAGTGTAGGTACCCCCCCTTTTGTGTCACTTGTGAATTAATTTATTAAGAGAGAGAGGATCAGTGGGCTGGAGGAAGTGGTCCAGATGCATAGTTCAGTCTGTGCTCTGTGTGCCCATGACCTATATTTGGATATAGGGTCTATAAAAAGCCTCGGTACAAACAGCTTCCAGGAGTCAGATCCCCTATCCCTGCTGTTGCTGCCTGCTTCAGGAGAGAGGACTGAGCTCACTCCAGCTTTATTTCTTCTCTTGTTCTCCAGGAAGATGGCTAAAGCCAGCATCTCTCTGCACTCCCTGAAGGAGACACTGAACAGGTCATTAAAGGGTCCTACGAGGGATGGGGAGGGACAAGGGGGGTAGAGGACTGGGGCAGAGGAGAGGAGACAACTACCTGTTAGTGTGACAAACCTGTGTTGCCTTGGGAATTTTCCTGGATAATAGAGTGTAAATAGGCATTGTGTGTATATGGGAAGGGAGTCGTTCAGGAGCAACCTGCTCTCTCTCCTTTACTCACTGAGGAGGAAAAGGGGACAGAGCCACAAGCTGCACCCTTTCATGGATGCCCTTCTGGCCAGTGCAAGCTGCCAGTCCTGGCTGTTTGCTGCAGGATGTGCCCAACTGCTCCCTCAGCAAAAGCCTGTAGCTGCATGAAGTGTTGCCAGGCAGGTATGAGTAATAGAAAATTTGGATTCACACTCCACTGCCGTCGTAAATGGGAGATTTGGGATGAATTTCTGAGTTTGGGAAAATGGCTCAGAGTCCGGAGGGTTCAAAGATAGGAAGTGATTATTGTGAACAAAAAAAACAACCAAACAAACAAACCAACTGAAAACAGACCTTGCTTTAAAGAAAGAAAACGACTGTCACAAAGGAATTGGGACATAGGTGACGCTGATTCACCCTCCATTTTCAAAGCCTGTATGAAGAAGAGGAATGCTTGACTGACAGGTTCACTGGCTTGGTGTAAAATAATCTGGCCTAAGATGCCCCTGCTGGCACCAGTCCCCGTGTTCAGCTGCAGTGGCACAGGATCAAACAGAAGCCATGAGGACCACTCTTCAGGAAAAACCTGAAAAAGGGTCTGAAATTCTCACAGTTAGAGACCAGTGAGGCAGTGTTCCCTCTTACTGGATTTTCATGTGTGGTTTTTCATATATTCTTTTAAAGGTAGCGTGCAAATGGTAACAAGCAAAAATTTTAAGTCAGTTTAGGTATTGTACCTATAACTCTGATTTACCTGTAGTGAAAATGATCACTGTCTATAAAGAATATCACAGCTGAATGCATGCAGTACTTCTGGTTATGAAATTAGGGATTACAGGCTGACAGATTGAGGAAGAACCTGCTCCTCTGGTCAAAATATTCACCAAAAGCTTTGATGGCTCCAATTCACACAACATGAAGCCACTAGAGACCTGGCCGCTGAGAGAAATTGCCCTTTACCACGCTCAGGAATTGCTGCCGAGGCCAATGTTCAACGGACGAATTTTGTGGCTTATTAAGGGTTAACACCGGTCGGAGATTGAAATTTAAAGGTTCGCGTTACTCGTGCGACCACAAGATGGCGTCCACAGGCGGTCTCATAGGGTGATGGGAATTGTAGTCTCGGGTGACAAAATGGCGGCACCGGAAGTTCCGGAGCAGCAGCCTTCTGGGGAATGTAGTCCGCGGCCAAGATGGCGGCTGCCGGAGCGGTCAGTCCCGGGTCCCATGGCGCTCTGGGCTGGACCGTCTCAGCTCGAATCTTCCCTTTCCCCTCTAGCAGTTGTACCCCCATTCCCGCAGAGAGAGCCACAGGCTCATTCATATCGCCAGGGAAGCCACAACCGAACGTATAGAAGCCACGGTTCTGACCTCACCCCTCACCAAGAAAGTGCTAGAAAGATAAAACTTCTCAAATACTACAGCACTGGGCTAAAGGCTGCTGAAAAAAAGCAACAGTAGTGTTGTAGATGAGATGTTGGATAACTTCACTGTTTGCAGAGGAGAAAGCTTGCAGGAATGGGCCATTAGGAAGCTTATTTACCGTGATAAAAAGCTGCTAATCAGGGAGCAATTCACAGGCAAGCGTCTCCCCCAGGCCAGCACTTGTTATCCAGCCAACAAACCTTGACGAATATACCAATTTTCTGACAGTTCCCACCGTCTCAAAGAGCGCTTGCACTTCCTTCTTCTTAAAATCCTTCTTAAACTGGTGGAGTTTCTGTGCTATCACGTTGTATTCCCCTGTTCGATTGTCGTCCTCTGCTTGTGCAGCTATAGATAGGAAGAGGATCTTAAATTTAGAGCAAACACTGCCTCACCTCACCTCAGGTTTAGCCACTTGCTCTTTGTGCTGACAGACTGTCTCCTGTTAGGACTCTTCCAATTCTTCTCAACTATCTGCATTTCTGCACCACACAGGTTCAATTTGCCAATTAAAAGTTCTGGTTTAGTTCTAAAATCCTCTTGGTAAGCATGCACACATAAATACCTTTAAATGGGTCCCCAAAGCAGGACAAGAGGGAGGCAGGTAGAGTCTTTATGAAAGCCACTCTCAGAAAAACAGAAGCCTAGCTAGCACACCCTGCTTCTTGAGTAGAGAGCAGCAAACAAGAACAAGCTATAAATACTTGCATTCCCTCCTAGTTTGTCCCTAAGCAGTAAGTTCTTTTAAACCAGGCAGTTTTCTTAAGCTGGAGGGGCTCAAACTCAAAAACTCATCTTTAGGATTATAATTTAAGAGAGCACAAAGAGGAACGTTTTTTGTTTGGGGATTTTTTTTGGGGGGGGGGTTGGGTTTTTTTTTTTTTTCAGATAAGGAAAAACGCAACAGATATTAAGTAATGAAAAAAGGCAGCTAATAAATACCAGGTATGAAGCAGTTTCCTTATTGCTGTTTCACTAAGGTCTTCTTATCACACAGTGGATAAGGACAGTCCTATAAAAGGGAGAAACAGAGCAGGATGAGCTGATGGGGGGAGAGACACTGCAGGTGGCTTATTATTTACATCATTCTTCATCTGGGAAGAAATGAGAAGTTTTGTGCCATGTGAAATGAGAACAGTTCAACAGAACACAACACTACAAGTAAAAGCAACAATCACCTCAGAATGTTTTAAAGAAAACTGCACCACTAATGTAAATGCAAATGGTCCAGACCTACAGATGTATCTAGATACAAATCTTCCACCTGTATTTACAAGTGATAAGGCATTAACACCACGGAAGGGCCAAAAAGACCTGGGCCATTTCAAAAAAAACTTTAATTTCTAGTGGTGTATGTTCTCACACAGCTTGGGAGAAGCCTCAGAATGGGGTCTGGAGCTGTTCACAGTGCAACACATAACCCACCACCCCAGCTGGAGCCCAAGACCTTACCAAATGCCTTTGTTTTCCATCCCTCAGAGTGGAAACCAAGCTGCAAACCTTGGAGGCTCAGTTCACAGACCTAGATTCAAGCTTGCAGAAGCTGGCACAGAAGTTTGAGCTGCAGACTGAGATGCTGGAGGAGATGAGCCAGGATGCCCTGTGGATGTGGACACCAGAGGAAAGGTGAGCACAGGGAGGGATGGGTCAGTC